TGTGGCACATGGCAGCCATCTTGGATTTTCCAAAATCCCCAAGAACACTTCGTAGTTATTCACCACAAACATATTACTTAATTTGATAGTGAACAACGTATCGTTCTAGCTGGTAATAGTTGTGCACTAGTATTCCTATGGCTGTTTCTATGGCAAATTACAGCCATCTTGGATTTTTTAAAAAGTCCAAGGGAACTTGTTTGCTATCTGACATATATAAATAAAATGGGTAATAAGGGTGTGGAAAACTCTGAGAAAATAATTTATTTGATAAAAATCAACATAGGTATGTACATATTTCTAAAGAATTCAATAAATTGGCGGCCATTTTGGATTTTTTGGCCAAACGGTAAATTTTTTTCTGTGGGCTACGGCTCTAATTTGATTTAGAATGTCAAAAGGTACCCACATGCAAAATTTGATGCTTTTATCCGCCGTGTCACGATTTTTTCCTTAAGCCACCGGACTAAAGTTATGTCATATGCTTAAGATGCAGTTAGTGTGGAAATTAATTAACACGTAAATTATCAAGTCGACCTGCCTCAAAAATCACCTCTGTGTCTACCCAGCTTCCTATGGTAATCACTGACAAATACAAGAAAAATGAAGGTGAACTGTAATATCTTTCGAATTTTGTTTAGTGAAAGAGCACCGTTTCAGCTTTGGGATGAGTTTTTGGTGTGGATTGTTTACGTATGTTATTGACTTCAAACTTAAAGGTTTGGGACTGAAGCTTGGAGTGAACATCACATACTAATTGTAGATTAATTAGCGTATAATATCAGAAGGAAGAGAAGAGTGAAAAAATCGATGTGTCATCGCCATACAGAAAGCAATCAGAAGAGAGGTTGTCAGGTAAGTCATTAATTTAAAGGGGAAAGAGCAATGGACCGAGGATGCTACCTTGAGGGACGCTGGCATTAATATAGCCCTCTTCAGTTGATTTGGATAATGTGCAATTAACAGATACCCTCACTTTTCTGTTCTGCAGATATGACGGTAAAGTGAAAATAAATTACCTTCAAACCCGTATGCTGACAATTTAAGTAATAACAGTTTATGCTTGACTCTGTCGAAGGCTTCCGAAACAAACAAATCAAGAAATATTCTCTAATGTCCCGTCCTTTTTTCTAAGGTTACTTCTTATCAAATTTTGAATTGCCAGTAGCTGATGCTATGACCTTTGAGAAATCCAGATTGTCCATTAAACAGTAAATTGTTATTTATAACATGATTGATCATATTTTTATATATTATTTTTTCTTAAATCTTTGATACCACACTTAGTAGTGAAACATGCCTATAATTTTCGATGCAGCTTTTATTACCTTTTTTATAAATCGGGCATATGTAAGTCGTTTTCCATATATCCGGAAAAGGTACTGCTCTGTAAAATGTATTCCAATAGAACACGTAATGGTTTCGCAATAATATCTCTGCTGATTTTGAGCATTGTAATCGTTACAGAGTCTGGAACACTTGCCTTTGAGCTATCCAAGCTAGCAATTATTGATCTGATCTCCGTATCAGTCACATTCACCTCAGTTTCACTTGTTCTGGGAGGAGGGGGGGTGAAAGAGAAGAATAGCGTTGCAGTGCCAGTCTCATCGTCAGAGTGATCTTTCTGTGAGAAATGCTTCAGAAATGCTGACAATTTTTCCAACCCAGTATATGCAAAGAGGTGACCAAGTGATCTCAGCAGAGATCAAATATGGCCGACCCACTAGAATGCTAACTGTTAACAGAACTCTCAAAGGTCTTGTCACCAGTGACAATCGCTGAAATGTAGCACCGGTCTCACATCACTCTTGCTAGGTAAGGTTTGAGGAATTTTTCATCTGCATGACAGAGAGCTTATGGCTTCATGTGAATTGCTTAAGCGATCAAAGCTGAGCACTACCGACTCGGGACAGTTCCCAAAATTTAGTGATCGCCGTGCAGGCCTTGAAAGGATATCAGTAATATTCTGCATATCCCAACACGTTCTTACCTGTATCTCATCATTCTCTTCACTAAATGCCATGAGGTTTACTTCAAATTCTGAATCATAATATGACAGAGTGTAGCAAAAGTGAAAAGATCAACACGAGTTTCGACATCATTACCTGCATACGAATAATGTTACTTTCTATACAGCAGTGTCGAAGGGAATATTCACGACAGGGACCCTGGGAGGCAATTTGATTTTGTTGGACAATATAATGAAACTGAAAGTTTTTTTACTAATTGACCGATTGATACTGATGGATTATCAAACTACTGACGATATTTCAACGTGACCACCATGAGATACTTGAGACTCTAGCTCCATCCCACTCCTCTGATGGTGTATATGCAGATTATGCTTGTTGCAAGATTGCCCAATCAAATTCAGTAGCAACTTTCATCTGTTAAAGCAACTGTCGTCAGTTAGATGATATGAAAATGTTTTACATATACCTAGTTTTGGCCTAACAGATAGTAGGAAAGCGCGTCTATCAGTGTAACTAATATGAAAAACAGAAATATACTAAAGAGAGTTGAGATTTAATGTTTTAGGGTGCATTCTCAGAGATTTAGATCGATCCAGAGATTTAGATTTAGATCGAACTAACTCCCTGGGGGTTCACGCTAAATTGCAGTCAGCCGAGCGCGCACCATAGTTAATTCCCCCCTTACAGCTTTTAGTAGGCGGAACAGACGCTTAAGCCGGCTAAGCTGACAGTAATCTAGTGAGACTCCCCACAGGGATAGATCGATCTAAAATCTATGGGAATGGGGTCTTAGACCATTATGAAAATCAATGACGTCCAAAAAACGTAGCTGTGCATCGATTTATTGGACAAATAGGGAGTTTTCTGCCAAAGAATATGATTGGATAATTCATGTAAAGCAGTCACAGCCGACACTGAGAATTCTCATTTAAAGGTGCAGTCCGCCAAACGTTTCATCAGACCAACAGACTCGATCTGACATCCAACAGACCTGCAATTTTCCAGAAATTAATTCATCAGCGGTAGAACTATCGTCTGAAGATGAAGATCACAAGTACACGTACCATGCTCGTTTGTGTTGTTTTGATGATGGCGAAACTTTGTGCAGTCGGCGATGCTCGTAAGTACTAAACTTATCGTTTTATCTGGATCGATCCAACTTTGCAGGAGATTTTCTCTTAGTGTTGGGGGTGGTCGGCTCATGCCCTAGTTAGATTCCACTTTACCAAAATAACACGATTCAGAGCTGTGCCTCCGAAGACGTGTGTTTTGACAGCGACCCTTGCTGAGTTGAGAGCGGCTTTTAGAGTGTGATAGGCTTCTCGCCTTTATTATGAGGAAAGATCGTTTCTGATAGGTAGGTAGGAAGGTGTCTCGTCTACTTAGTATGAGATTTATAGATACCGATATATATATATAGGGTGCCCTGAAAAGGGCATTCCGTGATTGGTACGATAGAGGCGTGTCGCCTGTTGAGGGAAGGGTGAGGGTGGACTGGTTGCAGATAGCAATATTTTCCATCTACAATTCTCCGCTCTACCAACTGAGCCATCGCGAGTCGACCACCGACTCTTGAGCCATTCATACCGTCCAGCTGGTATCCCATTTGTTGTGGAGGAGAACTCCTCAACAGGATAAAGCATCTTAGACTGAACGGAGACACCTTTGCTGACCGCCTCCGTCCCTAAATGTTTTTTTTTTTTTTATCCCGGACTCTGCAGCTGATGAAAGCCACTTGTTGACCGAAAAGCTATTTCTGCAACCAGTCCACCCTCCCCCTTCCCTCAACAGGCGAGACGCCTCTATCGTACCAATCACGAAAAGCCCTTTTCAGGGCACCCTATATATATATATATATATATATATATATATCGGTATCTATAAATCTCATACTAGGTAGACGAGACACCTATCTACCTACTTATCAGAAACGATCTTTCCTCATAATAAAGGCGAGAAGCCTATCACACTCTAAGGGTGCTTTCCCAGAGATTTAGATCGATCTAAAAATTGAGTTTTAGATCGACCTAACTCCTTGGGGGTTCGCGCTAAATTGCAGTCAGCCGAGCGGGCACCATAGTTAATTACCCCCTTACAGCTTTTAGTAGGCGGGACAGACGCTTAAGCCGGCCAAGCTGACAGTAATCTAGTGAGACTCCCCGCAGGGATAGATCGACCTAAAAATCTATGGAAATGGGCTGTAAAAGCCGCTCTCAACTCTGCAAGGGGCGCTGTCAAAACACACGTCCTCGGAGGCCCAGCTCTGAATCGTGTTATTTTGGTAAAGTGGAANCACCGGACTACTGGGGGTTCACACTAAAATGCTGTCAGCTTCCGGGAGACAAGCACACACAAAAGTTAATTATACCCCCTTACAGCTTTTAGTAGGCGGGACAGACATTTAAGCCGATTAAGCTGACAGCAATCTAGTGAGACTAAATATCTGTGGGAATGGTCTCTTAAGACACAACTGGTCAGATAAAGTAACAGGCACATAATTATGAAACAGCAGGAGAAAATGCTGTTTGCACACATCCCCATGCAGTCATTGAAACCTCAACAAACGCAATGTGGAATTATCATGTACAACCTCCAGAGATTATAACTTATCAAACAAGCATGCCCATGTTCTTTTAATAAATACTTGTATGTGAATACAGTACATAAGTGTTTTTTTTTTTTATAATCTATTTAGAACATTTCGCCTTTTCTTTAAAACTGTTTTGCGTTTTGGCTATGTCATATAAATGGTTCAATCAGGGAGAATGAGGTTTCCATGCCCAGATACAAGCATGTATTTACCAGGTATTTAAGTCCTTTGATATGTCAGATGATCTGATGGGCTTTCTTATGACAATGAGTATGATCCTGTGCTAAACCTAAAGACTGTGTGTCAAAAAAATAAAAAATAGATAAAAAAATATATAAAAACACCTGTAGTCCTAGGACTAAGGAGGGTTATATCTATTGAACGACTTTGAAACATCTACCAAAATAACTGAGTTGCACAAGGTTGTTTGAATGACAAATCCTCTTCAAACAACATCTTGATAAGATCTCACTGGTATAACTGTGTTGAGGTAGTGTTCACTCAAGCCAAATCCTCCGTGATGCTAGAGAAGAAAATGGCTACTGTTTTAGTCCTTCTGTCTTTTGCAGGTAACTGTCAAGTATTTGTTTCTTTTCAAATCTAATTTTACATCTGCATTCTCTAGGAATGTTTATTGTTAACTTTTTAGATTTAGATTTAGATTGACATATTTCATGCAGTCATGTGTTTTATTTTTGGTGTATATTAGTGGTACCTGCAACTTGTGCATGAATACATTTATTTTCATTTATGAAATTTCTATGTTTAGTGGAATATGTTGCTTTCATGAGTTAAAGTTTGCTTTGCTAAAAATTAAAATGAGACATTTCAAAGATTCTCCTGCTGTGATAACTGTGAACATTTGTTTTCATTGTTCCAGAGCAGTTCTCAGTGGCAGACAATTTTCTTAACAATTTAGATGTAGCCATACCTTTAATGTGACTTTCATTTATAATGATTATTAAATTATGACTGTTCGTAGTTGCTGTCCAGAGTGAGCTACCTGCTGATTGTAACAGTCCCTGTCCAGAGGAATACACTCCCGTGTGTGGCTCTGATGGAAGGACTTATTGTCAGTACCACAAATAATATAAAGTTGTGGAAAATTGTTACTTTTTATCCAATTGATCCAATAAATGATTTCTTAAAATGCATATTATGAAATTAGGCCTTCAGCCATTAAATTATTTGGGTTCAGAAGATCATTGTCCTTTGCCTTAGGTACAAGATTGGCATTTTCATTTGAAATTCTGATATTTTAGGGAACCTTTGTGAGTTGCAGGTGGCATCATGTCTGTCTGTTGTAAAAATAAATGCAATTGCTGACATGGAATGCTCAGCACTTACCACTAAAACCACTACCACTTATAAGACAACCCCAGAATTAACTACCCCCAGTACCACGAAAAAACCAACAAGTACCCAAAAACCAACTGCCACTGTTGCTGTCCTGTCTAAGGCTACAACAACCTCAGCCAAAGTTTCCACTACTGTGAAACCTTCAGTTTCTACACAACAAAAGCCAAGTACAACCAACAGACAGTGTGTGTATAAAGGATGCCCCTCACCCTATCCATTTGTTTGTGGCAGTGACTACCACAGCTATGCATGTAAGCTTCTATCTCCTGTGCAATATGTTTATGTGCATGCACATATGCTAGATGTTAATTATGCAAATGATCTTACTAACTGATGTGAAGCAACCACAAACTCCTGTAGCTTATTTTAGAAGTTAAATTTCAATCTTTATTGACTTTAAAACTGTTTTAACACCTTTAGAATAAGTCTCATCATTATATACTAGCTGTTTATTATGTTCAATGACCATATACAATTGGATTTTGTTGAACACTTGTATTTGCATAAGTCCAATCTTATATATAGCTTTTCATTATAAAAAAATACTTGTGTTGTTAAAGAGATGGCTATAAAATGTATATATTTATATACTCCTTTTCCTAATTTAGGTGAAAATAACCTTGAGTATTGGAATTGTTACCGTGGCACCAATGTCACTGTTGTCCACAAAGGTCAGTGTGGCAAGTGCCAACAGGTCAAGTGTCCACCTGATGCCAGACCTGTGTGTGGTAGAAATGGGAAGCAGTACCAATGTAAGAAGACAAACATTCAAACAATTTCTAAGAATCCTCTTACGTACACCCCTCTCTGAATACACACACACACAAACACACACACACACACACACACACACGTGTGCACTACATGTGCATATACAAGTGTGGTTGCATCAGAGAGTTGAAAAACTGTGCCCAAATAGTCACAATGAAGTTTAAATAGATTTTAATTTAACTTACTTTACTTATTCCCATTTTATTATTGATAAGAATCATGTAATTTAATTAAAAGAGATTTCATTTAAAGTCATTCAGAACTATTTAAAGAAAACACCCAAATTATGCAGATGCAATAAGTGCAAAAGAACTATTATTTCCATATAAAGTAATTTTCATACATTATAACAGGTTCTTCGACCACATTTGCACCACAATTATTTTGTCATAATATTTGTTATTTTTACTTGCCATTCAGGTAAAGAGGCCCTTGATTACTTGAACTGTTTACAGGACACCAGGATAGGAATCCTATATGAAGGCCAGTGTTGTGAAAACATAAGACGTTGTTACTATAGCGATAGCAGTGTGTGTGGTACAGATGGAAAAACTTACAGTTGTGAGTATACATCTTGGAGTTGAATGTTCAGAAGTAAAAAGATGGTATATGGGATTATCCTTGTCATAATGCAGCCCTTTACATTTACTTAATGATAATCATTATTTGCATGTTGCATCATTTTTTAGAAGTAAAACTACTGCTCCAGCACTAAATAAGAATTTTGCACAAAGTAAGTGGATGGAATGCACATGCATTTAAATTGTTCACTTGACTAAAACAGGTAAAATAAATATGGTAATAAAATTTTATATTCTTAAGTTTAGAACTTAAGATGAAAGTGATTTTACTGGTAATCAAATAATCAGAAACACTGGAAAATTATAAATGACAACAGAAAGGTTTACTTTCTGCTTTCACCCAATCCAAAATGATGTACCTTTAATAAAACATTCTTATATTCAAGATAGATATTTCATTTTTAATTTTTTTTTTTTTTTTTTTTTTTTTTTTTTTTTTTTTTTTTTTTTTTTTTTTTAAAAAATTTTTTCAAAAAAAAATTTTTTTTAAAAAAAAAAAAAAAAAAAAANCCCCAAAGTGCTAAGACTGCTACATTGTGCCAAACTAGTATTGTAATCAAGAGAAAAAACCTGAACAAAGAGATACAGCTTATAAGCTGTGAAAGCAATTTCACATCCCACTCTTATCCAATCCCTGGCTTGTCAGCCTTTTGTGTCCCTTTGTGCCATGCAAAGAATAATGGGGCGGATTTGTTTTTATATGTAATTCAGGCCACTGCATTCATCAAAACATCTTAAAAAGAATTTTGGGACAACCTTTAACCATTGCTTGCACCACAGTAATTGCACTGTCTCATATACAGAGGTGGGGTTCACAAACAATATTCCCGTTTTAGTCAAATTGCCAAAAACATTCGCAAAATCAAAGGTTTGAACCAAAACCATGACAATGTAAAATATTTAATAAAACAAATACATGTTTAACCAATGAAAGAAAAGAAATACTGTTGTTGTGAGCCCAGAAATTAAGAGATGGATATGATTATAACAGGTTTTACTATTTTCCATGTGCATCTTTATCGAGCTGAACAGCATCACTCAAAGAGAGATCCAAATTTCAGTCTTTGGTGGACAGTTCCTGTCACATTTCAACTACAGAGTTATATCATCCAGTTTCTGTATCATTTAACATTGATCATGGTGGTGTCTGTAACAGTAAACATTATATTTCTGAAGCAAAAAGTGCGTAAACAGCCCCCATCCCTGCTCCCCTTTCCCCTAATGTTCCATGCACATGTGGACTCGCACACCCACTAATTCTCCAGGCACCCACTAATTCTCTGGTCCCCGAAGCAGTGATTCCATACTTTTACCGCACTCAATCATTCCCTCATTATTAATGGTTAGTAAGAGTGTGACCTCTGCATTTTCAGTTGTCATTTCTCAAAAATGACCAAATGCAGTTGGCCCTTCTCAAAAATGACAATATATCCTTATTTCCGACACTTGTTCCCTCCCAAAATTCACTGATCCAGTGTGCCTCATACAGCAATGTATATATATTTATATTATTTCTCCCTCAAATAGAGGGCATTTGCACAATGCTTCCCAGTTTTTTCATCATCCTCTGTCTCAACTGCACATGATTTTCTCATGAATATCACTCTGGGCCACACTCCCCCAGGAAATGTGCTCGGTTCTATCTACAGAGGCTTCCAGTTTTAGTTGTCTGTCCATGGTTAATTTGTGGTATATATATAGCTAGCAGGCACATCCCTCTTTATTGGCTGGCTGATCTGTGTTAATTGCATTGCGAGGTGCCGAAGGTTTGTGTTGAACTCCCGACTCTGCTGCATTCAAATCCAAACTGGAATGAAAATTGATGCAAGGTCAATTTCCTGTAAAGGAAATGTCACTTATTCATATACTATAAAAGATTCTGATTAATCTGGACTGGACAATACACTTGTAATAATTACACCAAGTATAATAATCACAGTTTGGAGAAAATGTTTCTTAACATACACAGTAAACAGTAAAATGTTTTTTTTAATGATATTTAAAATTTTAACAGAAAACTGATAAACACACTTTCATTACTATGTGTGAATACATGTAATAGATCATATATCTAGTATAAATTTGCTGAAAAAAATTCAGCAAGCTCTAAGTCCTGTAGAGCATCCTATCAAATAATCAAACATGACTTCTTGCTTTGCTTTCAAATCAAGTACGTTTTTTATTGCATGGCCCATTTACACTATTATACCCCTCTATACCTATGAAGACAAATTACCATCATTATACATATCCTAGCATGATAATTACATGTAGGGAAAAATCATCAAGAAGATTAGGTTTGTAAGCTACGGGTTGCATGCAAATTGAAAGCATGCTCTTCAGAGCACACTCTAGAGAATGAATAGCTTTTATTTTCAATATATTCCAAGAAGGCATTCAGAACAAACATCACTGGGCATACACAGCTGGTTTTACCACTTTTAGACTAATAACAATACAAAGACAGTCTCAAGGCACTTAAAGATCTATGTCATCCTTGGGGGCCTAAATTACAACTTGGTTTAACCTAGCTACTTTTTCACCAATCTGATCTCTAAACCCAGGGACCACACAACGGTGGGGTTATCAGTGTCTACTTGAGGAAGCCCGTAAGTTATTTACTTTTTTTTTGTCCAATAGGGCTGGAGGCCCCATGAATTAACAAAATGGCTTTCAAAGAGCACTTGTGACACTGAGGGATTATAAATTGATGCAAACTTGCATTCTGTGGGCAACTAGCAATTTGACCACTTGTGACGGAGAAACTCAATTTAGTAGTCTTTCCAAATACTGCTGTTCTAAAGTTTATGGTTTTCATGTCAAAACTTACCTGCCATCTTGAATATTTTGATATATTTTTCTTGCTGTATCTAAAAATGCCTCTTCTACATTTTCACCTCTGAAAAATAAAATGAGGTACTTATGAGTCTCAGAGTTGTCAACAATATGAGAAATGTAATATTTTATTCTATTTGCTGGATACGCAAACAGTATTTTCAGTATCCAATTTGCTACAGAGATTATGTTGTATTGTACGTATAACATGAATTTTTTTTTTCGAAGACTTCTTAACTGGCAAAGACATAATATCATGTCATTTCAACCGCACCTCTAACCAGAAGTCAAACAAGGACAACAGCACCGAAGGATGCAGGCGAATCTGGGATAGCAGTTTAAAAATTCAGCACAAATTATTTTTACAACTTCACCAACATGTGGTTAGTTATACTTACGTTTTTGCACTACATTCTAAAAACATTAAACCTGGAAAAGAGAAAGCAATTCATGTATCTTTGTTAACATTCTTACTACTACCTCTATGACAACCGTGTTATTGACACATTAATTACTTTCAAGACAGAAAAATATAAACAATGTTTAAGAATTTTGAAAGATCTTTTTTCTCGTATTATGGTATTTTTTCAAATCTGTGCACTGTATACAAATTCAACTCCTGATATCATACCCACCATTTTCATCAGCAAACTGTTTTGCTTCCTCATACGTCACATCTCGCTGTGCTTCTAAATCTGATTTATTTCCAATCAAAAATATCACCTGAAATATACAAGATTAAAATTGAGCATGGTCTGTACTGTGTCACCTCAAAAAACGCACTATAAGTTTACAACATGAAATAAAGATATCAAGAACAAATAACAAGAACTGCCAAGTAACATCATTTATATGCACATATCTAATTTATCCTTTTTATTATCAGGCACATTTTAGGTTTTATCTTTTTTTATAACATGGATCAAGCAAATCACTTTAAGTTTACAGTTAGCAATTTAGCACTTTGATATTAAAAAATTCTGACAATATATTTTATCCCAGTACTAAAATCCAATAACAACAGAAACACTTACTGTATTTGGATTAGTTAAATTTCTAGCATCTGTTAGCCAGCTACTTAAATGATTATATGTACTGCGCCTGCAAAGAAGTTAAAATCCTTAGAAATCCATGCACTTATTTCACATGGCCTTAAGGAGATTAGACAAAACTTGTGTGGCACAAGAATCGAGGAAAAAAAAAACAAAAATAAAGTGACATTAGTGAGTCACGCAGCAGTCTAAATATTCATCTATCCCTGCATTTCATAAAACACATCATAAAACCCATGCTGGCCGTAGGTGAGTAATATGGCGTGGAACTGTATGGAAAACTAATGTTATTCTCCCACGAGTCCACTTCAACTACTCAAGTAAATATTGATTTCTTTGATGGCAGAGAACTGAGCCAAAGATACTTTATCATCACTCACCCTTAATTTAAGGATGCTATGCTGTCTGCAAATGAGATAAGCTCCTTTTGTTACAGTATTGGTATCAGGGATTGCCAGTCAATGGCCTTGCTAATAAATCTGTTTTTTTTCCTCTATAAGGATTTATCTATTTCAGTATACTTCACAGTTGGGGTACATTCATTCTTTCATGGTCACTTAATTCATGTCAGTTCAGCTCTCCCACACGACTCTTCTCCTATAACACAGTGGTTTCCAGAAACCTTTAAGTGACTCCCCATTAATTTCTTTTACCATGAGCATACTAGTACAGTAACTGACCTTGTTATATCGTATACCATGAGGGCACCTGCTGCTCCTCTATAGTAACTCCTTGTCACTGCACGAAACCGTTCCTGTCCCGCTGTGTCCCAGATTTGAAGTTTGATTTTTTGTCCGGAGACTTCTATTATCCTAGACAGAATATAATGTATATATTTTAATACGACTTCTTCATATGCTTTTCTGGCATGGAAAGTTTTTTTTTTTTTTAAACCAATAAGTACCGTAATGTCACATAAATGGACTGAATATTACCTCTTATGTGAAACACATCCTTATCTAATGTTGCAGTTGTTCATGCAAAACATAAATGTAGACACAAAGTACATAGTCCTCATTCCTTTATCCCAAAAAAACAGGTATTCCACAAAAGAGTGTCTATTTATTAAAGATACAGACATTTATGACAAGGCGAATTGCGGTAATATTAACAAAGTTTTCTGTCTATAAGAAAGCCACATAAATGAGATCTAAAATTTTTGATTTTGACAAAACAGTTGATTCGCCAGATGCACCTGTACAGTTCTTTATTACTTTGCTATTGTGAGTTGAGGGTGGTCTTTTAACATGATTTAATTACCATGCAGGCCTTCACGATAACTGTCGTTTGTGACTTAGAACTGCGGGTTAGTAATTGCAATCATCAAATTGATGACTAAAACTTTGAGACTGTTCACAATAATTTTTGTCCACCTAGCTAACAGGTGCTGGCACCACGTGGTCTCTCGCTAAATGCAATTAGCTTAACAAACTAACATGCCCCATCTTGTTTCCAACATACTCATTCAATCAACAGATTCTGTGTATTCTACTTAACATCTGGAGGATTTGTGTGTGTTTATCTGACTGCACTCAGCAAGAGTCCCCGTGGAGTAAGTGTGCACCAGCTAGTGTGACCTCACTCATTCTGCCAGCCCCACAGTGATGTCATCAGTTGACTAGATAACACATGATCCACTGGTGACAAAAACTAGAGTTTTACAGGTCTAGGTAAGTTCAGTTGTGAACACATGCTGAAGATACACTTGGGACATCCTGCAAAGATATATCCCAGAGGGTGGAATGGTTTATAAAGCTAACTCACCTAGTGCCAAATTCTACTCCTATAGTGTGTGGGCAGTCTGCCATAACTGGAGAGAAAATAAATAATAATTAGAGTCCTAATTCTCAATTCTATAACAGCAAGGTGGATAAAGCTAGGGCAATGAATGATTTAGAATGAATAATTTTGCTTGAAATGAAGAGACTCAGAACACTACACTCAAACAGTACACTTCTGAGGGATCCTACCTTAAAAGTCGGAACTGAAAGAATGAGCTACCCACCAAGCTTTTAAGAGTGTACCTTATTCAAAATCCTGTTGAATAAATTATTTTTTAACACCAGACTTAATTCACACAGTTTAAGAAGTTATACGGCTGCAAAACAAAAAAGTCAATTATCATCTAATGGCCGTTTTCTGATTAAAAAAGAAAAATAATACTCTTCAAGAAATAAAGCTTTTAAGTAATTTTTCATTTACTTCAAATACTTACATTTCTTTTCTGTAAACTGGTGGAGCAGACATGATTTGCCAACTCCCATGTCACCTATGATGATGTACTTAAATATATAGGAATAGTTATATGGCCCCGCAGCCATGGTGAACAGTGGTACTCAGTCAATCTGAAAGTAACAATAATATTCATGACATTTATTACTTGTATTACAATTACAAATTACAAATAAAAATATATTATTACATACCCTGACATCTGTAAATATTACCTTTTGTATAATTTCCCACACAATGTTTAAATACACAATTGTTTTTGGGTTTCTGAGTAGGTATTTATAAATAGAAAGAGAAAGGCAAGTCATGAACCATGTCACATGGCAGAATATACCTTTAAGCAAATTATAAACTCATAGTAACAAGCCTGTCAAGGCTGCAATCTACCTTTCTACAACATATTGAACATTTTGAACTTAATCAGACAACGCACGCTGACATTGGTTTCTCTTTTCCTTTTAGTTTTTCTTTCTATTTGTGATGGTAAAGAAAGAGAGATGGGGAAAGGTAATAAGTGATGGGTGCCAAAACATTCCATTATTTAGCACTAGTAAAGTTGTCAAAGGATTGAACTTCCTCGAATTCTTAACTTGCTTAGTACTGTAGAGATTTCAATTATACCTGAATAATTAACAAATCTGCTATATAGAATGCACGTTATGAATGGGAATAAAAACAGTGGCTTGGCCAAAGGGTCAATCTTACACGTCATAAGTAAGCCCACCCCCCCCCCTCCCACACTGACCACCACCACCATAAGTACAGTAGGAACCTCAATCATTGTGTATACCAAAAATTATGTACACTGTATATGCAGCATACATGATACAAGACTGTGAGGACTCCAGTCATAGAGGAAGTCTTCACATCATTAACAGCTACCTGGTCTCAATGAATCTACCTCCATATCATGTTTTGTCACCAAGGTAACAGTTATTAACTAAGATAAACTTGACTGGTTGACTGTAGTTCCAGTCTAACTAGTTCATGATTGCTGCAAGTGCTTCATTGTTCAGACTGCATGGGAATGTACAATGGTACTGCACCAGAATGGAAATGTTATCTTTTTTTTCTTCATTCAACAAATGCTTTAAGAAGATGAATATCCCCCCCCCCCCCCCCAACACCACAACCACCAGATTTGCCCCATCACTGCTAAATAACCACCAAACAACTTCAGACATGTGTTGATTTTGAATGAATAATCAATTTAAACTGCATGCCATGTACATAATGTACATATACAAACAGCATCCAATCTTATGATTTTTACATCTGACTGTCACCCCTCTCTCAAAGTAAACCTCCACATAAGGCAAACTGCTCTCACTCTCAGCAGGACATTTATAAAAATCTTCATGTATCAAAATTAAAATCCTATCGGCGTACAACCTGAACCATANTTGATTTTGAATGAATAATCAATTTAAACTGCATGCCATGTACATAATGTACATATACAAACAGCATCCAATCTTATGATTTTTACATCCGACTGTCACCCCTCTCTCAAAATAAACCTCCACATAAGGCAAACTGCTCTCACTCTCAGCAGGACATTTATAAAAATCTTCATGTATCAAAATTAAAATCCTATCGGCGTACAACCATTATGATATTTAGCAGCTTTATTTCCCCTACCAATAAGCTATAAGTTGACAGTCCACTTCAGGGAGATAACTTCCTTGATAACACAGGTCTGAGACGGATCATGAGAGAGGGGGCGTAGTCAGCCCGATATTTTTTTCACTTCCACAATTAAATCAGTGCACATGACGTGTATTTCATTGTGCACTCATTTAACAGTCACCTCCAGAAAAATAAAAGTCTTAATCTGTTTGATACTAAAGTCAGACTCAGTAACTTACATATATGAATCTTCCACAAAGACGTCAGCTGAGTATCTTACTTGTCTTGACTCACCGATCACGTCACATGACAGTTCTATCATTCAACAATGAAAATAAATGAAACAACAACTTTGGGGCTTTAAAGAGCACATGACAGTGCAGGTACATGTTTGATATAGGTCTCCTGTGATTATCAAAGCGATCGGTAGTTAGTGAACCTCTATATAATGCGCTACATCAAATATCCCTTACCTCTGTAGCCAATATTTACACTTTTTCCTGTTTGATCAATCCAATATGGCCGACTATTTTCGGGTTGAACCGAAGGGTTCGCAAGGAGGACTGTCTCACCTACAGCAATCCAAGCACACTGTCGATAACGTGAGCCGAGGCAATAATTTTATTGGATTTGTGCTTTTTCCTGTCTTCATTTTACTCGTTTCCTTAAAAAAAGCTTGTGGCAACTTTTTATAGCCAATTCTTACTCTTTTCAAGAAAGAAACCATTCATCGTGTTTTTAAATAGCATTTTAAGCGAAAGGTAAAGTAAAGCACTTGGCGTAAACTTTTGGATCCTAGGCGTAAATTATAGGCCTAACTTCTAGGCCTACTTTCAGCCAGGACCTCCCCAAAATGACAAGGAATGAGTTCTTCCCGAGAGACGCAATTTTCTCAAACTGATCATGATGAATTTTTTCTCGACCAGTCCCTGCACTTGGATTCAGTGTCTTATGCCAGTTTGAATTTAATAGTTTTCGCGCTCTTAAATTACACCCCCTTACCGTTGCTTCCACGCACCGATCGCAGAGATGCCAACCTCTGGAAATCCAAAATCTGGAGACTCTAAAATTGGGGCGGAGGGGGGGGGGTTCGCTGCCATTGTGCTCAGGGGGGGGGGGGGGGGGAGACAGAAGGGACCACTCTCTCAACTCCCTCTGCCTCTCCCCAAATAATAAGTTTTTAAAAGATCACCCAACTATTCTGAAGACAAATCGTTTTTTAAGTTTTGCGTGAAATATCAACTCAACATAACAGACAAATAATAATAATAACATTTACAACCGAATGGCTTTAAAATTACTTTTGTCGTCTCAACAGCCTCTATCTGAATGTAAAATTTACCACTAAAATGAATGCGAAAGGCTTACTCAGAGCAAATTTTGTTCTCCTAAATGTTTAAAAATTTTATTTATTGTTAAATGATTCGGGTATTTGAGACAGGACGTTAGCTGACAGTGATGCAAATTTTCAAAGTCGCTTTTATCCGGGAAAGCGGGAGCTTAGTTCTGCATCCGGGAGACTCCCGGATTATCCGGATGTATGCGATCATTACTCCATTTAGCTAAATTACGATGTATCCAAGACGTTACTTCCTCGCATCGATGGACCTACTCTCTCGGGCGTTACTCCCACCATCTGGTTTTCAATGTCGATTCAACATATATTTTCCATTTTCGAATCTCGGCATAAACCAGGGGCGGATCCAGCATTATTTGGCCCTTCCCCCTTCACTTGGCATGGGGTTCGGGCCCGGTGAAGGGCCCCGAGTATTTTTGGTATTTTAAGGGGGCGAACGGTGCCATTTGGTAGGTTTAGAAATATGATTCAGCCAGTCAAAATTCTTATTTCAAGAGGGGTCCATCGGTGTGATTTTTTTCAGAAATCGAAGGGGAGGGGCGTCGACCCTGACACCCCCTAAATCCGCCAGTGATAAACGGTATGGTTTCGAAATCAAGAATTATGTTTTTTAGCCTCTGTATCCCATTCATATTATAAATGTATTATGATGCAGGGGTGTAAATGTACGGAGAAGTAGGCTAGATGTAGCTAATCTTGGAGAAATCAAATGAATATCTCTTTCTTTTGACAACATCTGTTGAGGGAACTTTGTGCGATACCAGTGCGTCCCAAAAATGCATTTAAAAAGATAAAATCATTTTGTTACAGGTAACTCCAGGTTCAACGATGACATCAAATTTGTTCTCATGTTTCATTTGCTTAATCTGACCCTTTCCTTATTCTATTTAGATTTTTTCATTATTTTTATTTTTTATGTCTTTAGAATACAGAAAGGGGTACGTCAAGACTGTTCTTTCACCAAATTTATTCAACTTGCATCCTGAAAATATATTCAGAGAAGTCGAAGATATGAAATGCGTGAATAAATGAATAATCTGAGATATGCATATGATACAGCTTTGTTAACTAATGCAGACCTACAAGAGTAAGTAACACCAGTCAATTAAAAAGGAAAATTACGTATGGAACGGCAATGAACATAAGAAAAACAAAAAGAATAGCATCAGTCTAATAAGACCGCGTATTATTAAACGGATAATAACTCTAGATCTTCGTATAAGATCTATATTTCACAATAAAAACATTGTGAACAACTCATAGAAATATAATATTTTCTGTTTTACCACAAAAAACGGCAGTTAAAGCTATTATTTTGATGTCTGAGCTTGTCCAACCACGCGACCTCCATAGATGGCTGTACTCTGCAATAATCTCTTAAGAGATTATTACAAAAAAAATCTTTTAGTAAAAAAACAGGGACTTACTTTGAATGTTGAAATGGATTCATTGACCATTGATAAGTATGGGAAAATTGTTTTTTACTCAAGAATTTTTTTTTTTTTTTTTTTTTTTTGCCAAAACGAATCCTTTTAAATTTTACATCTAGTCAACACTCTACAGCTCAGAGACATGGACACTAGCAAAAACAACAATGGAAAAACGGAGACTTTTGAAATGTGAGTATACAAAAAGATATCAAAAATTTTATGGACTGAACACAAAAGTAATTAAGGTTGAGGAAGTATTCAATTATCTAAAAAATAAAACATAATTGAACACCACCAAGAAAAGAAAATTAACATATTTTGGTCATATCATAAGAAAAGATCATTTGCAGCAGTTGTTATAAGAAGAAAATTTAAAGAAGGTCCAGAATAATATGGATGGACAAAATAAAGTAATGGACCAGTCCAAAGAAAAAAAGAGAGAGAGAGATAGTGAAATCCTACGAATGGCACAAGAATGAGAGGCATGGCGATCAATGACATGCGGACAGTGGATGGCCCCTCAGTGATGACCTTTAAATATGACCCAGCTTGGTTTGGAGCCAGGGAGATAAATTATATGGTTAAATGTACTGTAGACCACTTATTTTATAAACGCTCTGATTAATGTGATGGAACTTGATGGATCCACAAAGCGCTGAATGTCCGAAAAATAGCTACTAGCATGTCTAATAGCATGTATGTGACCAAAAACGTAGGCCTGCGCGTGAGATACACAATGAAATATACGATTTTACAGCAGAATAATTCTAATAATTTTCTTGAAAATTTCTACCTTTTTTTTTTCAACTCCCTCAATGTCTTTCCTCAACCGTTACGATTTTGAATATAGCACACATTGGTAGTTAAGGGAAAAGAGTTGGATTTTCCCATTTTTTTCTGCTTTTGTTAGCGTGAAAAATCAATTAGACTCTATGGAAGAGAATAAAACTTTTCCTGCAGACGTTACCGACAGTACACTAGTGTCCGGTGCCTGTCTTACGGGTTTCATACCTGTGCCATATCTGAGACCATTCCCAGAGACTATCGTACTAACTTTGGATCGAACTTTCTCCAAGGGGATTCTCGCTTAATTGCAATTAATTTAAGCGGCTTAGATGTCTGAAGCTGATAGGGGATAATTAACTATCGTTCAGCAGCTTTAGCAGGCGTGCCAGACATCTACGCCACTAAAGCTAAAAGCAATTTAGCGAGAAAACCCCGTGGAGATGGACCGATCCTGTTAGATCGATCTAGGGATGGGAACCCAGTCATAGTGGAGCCTTTTCTCTACGAGGCGGCCAAATATACAGTCACGTGACTCTGATAAGAGGCAGACCGAGAAGGTAGGAGGTGAAGTCCGTTGTAGGCCTAACCACTGCTGCATCCGCCGTGTGAAGGCTGTCAAGGATCAGAAGATTTAGTCACCTTCAAGTTAATGTGAGTTTTACTTCACTTTACATATACATATATAAGTTTATTGTGAAACTTCTATAACTATTTTTATAATTAAAATATTTTTCCCTTGAATTTGTAAAGGAGTTATATAGTTCTTTGTATAATCATTTAGGCCTACTTTCCTTTATTATCTTTATACAGTTACCGTGATCAAATTCACCGCCAAGAGAGTTACTTTTATTACCAAATCAATGTAGAGGTGTAAACGTGTATGCAAGTTTCTGCATAGTAGAATGTGTTCATTAACGCCCCTCTGCTTATTTTGTATAATCATTTACTTGCATCTATAAATTAATTGCGTCTACTGAGTTTTCTGAATAATTGTTTGGTGTCATTAATTATCGAAAGTCCTTATTTCTTTCGTTATTTATATTATAATATTCAGTTAACGGCACTTGTACGCGCATTAAACAAAGAAAATCCTCCTAGCCTGTGTTTGAACTTATTTGGTAATATACTATAAATGTAGCGGATTTGGTTGTTAAAGATATTCAGAATATTAAATTTTAAGGCTCTGGCAGCTCTAACTAGAGCCCCTAAGTTCACGCGTCAAGTCCAGCTAATTAATAAGATGGAGGTAGATTGAGAAATGCCGAAGTCGCGCAACCGTCCAATCAGATATAATAGAGGCGAATGGAAAGTAACGTGGCGGTGTAGATGACGTTTGTGACTTGCCCGAATTTATGACTAAGTCGAAAAAGAGTAACATTTTCCTCCTCTCTATCCATCAATAACGAAAGAGAAGTTTCTTGATGTCTACACCAAGGCCAGGTGTGACACACGTGACAGGAACGGTAGTCCGCTAGGAACCGTAGTCCGTCCCCCATTACTTTGTATACGTATAGGTGACATTCGTCTAGTATACTACTCCCAATATGTAACTAAACTGTAGGTCTGTGAAGCGAAAAGTCCGCCCCATTTAATTATAATGATTAGGGTCGACCTGTCATAAGTGAGTATAAATCTAGGATGAAGTTTGGACATAATAACGAATATGTCCAAGGGTGAAGCTTACCTGTACAAATGAATGGAAAGCAGACTCTCTAGATCTATCATGGGAGACTTCGTCACGTACGTTACACCGGACTTCCATCCCTAGTGCTGCCATTCCTGTAACACCTGTATCCATCACCGAATCGTTTCCGGTCTAGGGCCCAGTACGTGTGAGCTTTTGCCAGCTCTCATT